GGAAGTCCCGGATTTTGGGGGAAAGGGAGAGGAAGTGGCTGTATTTTTTACGTCTTTTTTTCGCGGGTTTTCTCTTGTCTGTCTGCCTTTTTCTTTCTTTTCTTTTTTTCACTGGCTGTCTGTCTTTCTCCCTCCCTCTCTCTCTCATTCACCCTCTCTCTCCCCCCTCCCCCTCCTCCTTTTCCGTTTCCCTCTCTCTCTCTCTCTCTCTCTCTCTCTCTCTCTCTCTCTCTCTCTCTCTTCTCTCTCTTCTCTCTCTCTCTCTCTCTCTCTCTCTCTCATTCCTTCTCCCCCTCCCCCTTCTCTTCCATTTCTCTCTCCCTCACCCTCTCCTTCTCTCTCTCCCACTCACCCCCTATCTATCTCTCTCTCTCTCTCTCTCATTCTCTCTCTCACTCACACACACACGCAAATGACTCTACCAATTGACTCACAGCGACTCGAGCTTCGGCAGATGACTCATGAGTGAATCGAAGTCCGAGACGAGGTTCGTGGTCAGGTCAAGGTCCACGAGCGAGGACAGGCCTTCCAGGGCATCCGGGGTCAACTCCTTCAGGGCGTTGTTCATCAGGAACCTAAGTAAAAAAAAATGATGACAAATAAATAAATATATAAATAAGGAAGATTCTTCTTGGTTAATCGATCTAGAAATGTGTGATGGCGTACGTGTGGATATCAGTATGTTTGTAACTTGTACATTTTGGTTAGTTGGTTGTTCGCCTGTTTGGTCTTTTAGTCTTTTGGTAATTTGGTCTTTTGGGCATTCGGTCGTCTGGTCGTTTGGTTTTTTGGTCGCTTGGTCTTTTGGTCTTTCGGTCGTTTGGTCTTTTGGTCGCCTGGTCTTTTGGTCTTGTGTTCGTCTGGTCTTTTGATCGGCTGGTCTTTTGTTCGTCTGGTCTATTGGTCTTGTGTTCGTCTAGTCTTTTGATCGGCTGTCTGTGTGTTCGTCCTGGTCTTTTGGTCTTGTGTTCGTCTGGTCTTCTGATTGTTCTGTGGTTCCGTGCTTCTTTTTATCGCTGTCTTTGTGTTCGTTCTGGTCTTTTGATCGGTGGTCTTTGTCGTCTGTCCTTTTGATCGGCTGGTCTTTTGTTCGTTCTGGTCTATTGGTCTTGGTTTTTCTCGTCTAGTCTTTGATCGGGCTGTCTTGTGTTCGTCTGCTCTTTTGGTCTTGTGTCGTCTGGTCTTTTGATTTTTCGTGACTGGTCTTGTCTCTCTGGTCTTTTTGCATCGCTGGTCTTGGTTCGTCTGGTCTTTTGTCTTGTGTTCGTCTGGTCTTTTGATCGCTGGTCTTTATCGGCTGTCTGTTCGTTCTGGTCTTTGATCGGCTAGGTCTTTGTTCGCTCGTCTTTTTGTCTTGTGTTCGTCTGGTCTTTTTGATCGGCTGTCTTGTGTTCGTCTGGTCTTTTGATCGGCTGTCTTGTGTTTCGTCTGGTCTTTTGTCGCTGGTCTTGGTTTCGTCTGGTCTTTTCGGGTCTTGTGTTCGTCTGGTCTTTTGTTGTCTGTCTTTTGGTCCTTTTGATCGGCTGGTCCTTTGTTCGTCTGGTCTATTGGTCTGTGTTTCGTCTAGTCCTTTTTGAGTTTCGGTCTGTCTGTTGTCTGGTCCTTTTGGTCTTGTGTTCGTCTTCTGGTCTTTTTGATCGGCTGGTCTTTTGTGTCGTCTGGTCTTTTTTTCGGCTTTTTGGCCTTTTATCGGCTGGTCTTTTGTTCGTCTGGTCCTGTCTTTTGTTCGTCTGTCTATTGGTCTTGTGTTCGTGTCTTTTGATCTCTTGTGTTCGTCTTGGGTTCTTTGATCGTCGTCTTGTGTTCGTCTGGTCTGGCTGGTCTTGTGTTCGTCTGTCTTTGGGCCTTGTGTTCGTCTGGTCTTTTGATCGGCTGGTCTTTTTGATCGGCTGCGATCTCTTGTGTTCGTCTGGGTCTTTTCGGTCTTGTGTTCGTCTGTCTTTTGGGTGGTCTGTGTTCTCTGGTCTTTTGATCGTCTTGTCCTGTCTTTTTCGGTCGTCTGTGTTCGTCTGGTCTTTTTGCGCGGTCTTGTGTTCGTCTGGTCTTTGTCTGTGTTGTCTGCTCTGTGTCTGGTCTTGTGTTCGTCTGGTTTTGGTCTTGTGTTCGGTCTTCTGGGCTCTTGTCGTGTCTTTTGTTCGTCTGGCCTTTTAGTCGTCTGATCTTTTGTCGCCTGTCCTTTGGTCTTTTGTCTTCTGGATATTATCGTCTGTCTTTTTGGGCCGCTTTTGTCGTCTAGAATTTTGTGCCTGGTCCTTATGGTCTTTTGTCTCTGTGCGTTTGGTCTTTTGGTCGCCTGGTCCTTTGGTCTTCTGGTCTTTTAGTCTTTGCATTTCTGTGCGTTTTTGGTCTTATGGTCTTTTTGTCGTCTGGTCTTTTGGTCGCCTGGTCTTTTGGTCTTTGGTCGTTGTTAACCTTTGGTCGTCTGGTCCTGTTGTCGTCGGTTCCTTTGTCGTCTGGTCTTTTGTCGTTTGGTCTTTTGGTCCTTTTATCATCTGATCTT